CTCCAGAATACTGAATCTTGAGGATGACAGTTTGTCAGTCTTTTAAGTATAAAGTCATAATTGGCTTCAGTCTGTAGATTTCTGTGAGAAGCTTTGCAGGCAGAAAGGGTTTGGATTAATACAAGAAAACATTGGTTAAAAAATTAAAAGAACTATAGAAAAAGTTATTTTTTTTAAAATTCCCCAAGGAGCAAAGGATGGGTTCTGTGTTCGTCAATCATACTGTGAATTTTTTTTTTGGTTTTGGTTTTGGTTTTGGTTTTGGTTTTGGTTTTTTTAAGACAGGGTCTCTCTGTGTGGCCCTGGCTGTCCCAGACTCGCTCTGTAGACAAGGCTTGCCTTGAACTCACAGAGATCCACCTGCCTCTGCCTCCCCGAACCTAGGAATCACAGGCATGGACCTCTGCGGCTTGTTTTTAAGAGTCTTGAAAGAACTTCCGTAAACCAAGCCAAGGTATCCCATAGACAAGTTTAGGGAATGTGATAACCAGTTTTGACTGCCCGCTCAAGAAAGGGCTTTTGGTTTGTTTTTGTTTGTTTGTTTTGGGTTCTGTTAGATATTTTTTTTTTTCTTAATGACAAAGCTTGGCATCTCAGAATAGGGCCTTTCATGAGCATCCCTAGAACCCCTGGAAACTGAGGCAAGTAGTCATTAAAAGTGGATGGCACCAGCCCTGGTGGCCCAATTAAGGCTCCTGCAAGCTGCTGCCCAGGAAAACGAGCTCGCGACCCTGCCAGTGGTCTTCAGAGCTTGGCGAGTTCCTGGCTGCCTTATCACAGAATCCGCACATGCAGCAAGGGCCCCTGCTGAAGAGAGAGGTGCTGCTTGGCGAGAGAGGGAGGGCAGGCACCCAGGCATAGAAGGCTGAGGGCTTGCCAGACAGCTCTAAGTAAGACCTGCTTCAGCAGGAGCTGGTCCATCCCTGACTGGATCATCAATTGTCACCAGTAGTGTCGCACCGCCATTGGCTCTACCTTCAACTCTAATTTTGCTCAGTGTGTCCAGTTGGCAGGCGTGTTAACTTGGGACCAAGAAGGCCTGTGATAGACTGACAGATGTCGGGGGAAGAGCCCTGTGTAATAAGGAGGAGCGAGCCATGATTTAAAAACAAAAAAGCAGACAGCAGTGCTGGGCAGAACAGTGGAGGCAGCTGGACCAGAAAGTGCAAGACCCTTGGCTGGAGACCAGCCCTGTGTGCCTGAAGACCAGAAAGCAGGGTGCTGGGCCGGGACTGAGCGGGCAAGTGGTTCCAGGCCTTAAATTTATCCATGGGCCAGTGTGTGTTACACTCCTTTAGTCCCAGCGCTAAGCGGGGGAGGCTGAGATGGGGATCTCCATGAGTTCGAGGCCAGCCTGGTCTACAGAGCGAGTCAGGGATGGCCAGGGCCGCACAGAGAAACCCTGTCTCGGAAAACTGAAGGAGAAAAGCTGTTTATGGCTGGGTGTAAGCAGGCCATGGTTCGTGGTCTGTCAGGTTGTGGGGGTCCTGGTGCTCGAACTCGGGTCATCAGGTTTGCAGCAAGCGCCTTTCCCCCATTGGGCCTGTCATCCCAAGGCTTATGTTTTAAACTCCTGGGAACAGATTCTAAGGTGTTGTAGGATTCAGGAGGTGTCTCCCGGAGATTGGTAGTGGCGGTAGAAGGTGGATGGGCAGGCTGAGGGAAGGGAGATGGGGTGAGGGCCGGCCAGGCCCTCTGCTGGGGTAGAGAGGTTCTCAAGCTGGATGCAGGCCCAGGAACCCCAGGGCTGGCACCGGTCAGCACCGGAGGCCTCTGTCCGCTCACACTAGGGAACGGATCTCTTTCTGTTGAGAATGGCTGCCCTCCCGAACCTCCCTTTCCTCCTGGAAGCTGGGTGGGGAGGACCCACCCTGCCCTGGGACCAGTGTAATTACTGCAAGGGAACAGGCTAAGGGGAGGGTGGGCAGGGAGGGAAGGTGATGGGGAGGGAAGGGGAAGGGAAGAGATAGGGGAGGGAAGGGGAAGGGGAAGAGAAGGAAAGGGAGGGAAGGGGAGGGCAGGGGCCATGCTGCCCTCTGTGGACTTGGGCCCGCTGGGCACAGGTGCCAGCTGGCACACTCTGGACACTCTCTCTCCTTGCTGACTCCGGTGAGGCCCTGCCAGCTGTCCCAGTCCCAAGGGCCATGGGGAAGGGGGCTGGCCCTCAGCTTCCCCCCCCCCCCCCGCCCCCCCCCTCCGCCCTAGCAAAAGCGTGGAAAGGCATGGAGGGCCTCTGTCGACATCGAGAGAGAACCCCAACCGGGTGGCTCAAGAAGGTGACACAGCTGGACCTGGATGGGCCCAAGGAGCTGTCCCTGAGAGAATGGTAACATTCCCCCGCCAGAGCTGAGCTCAGCTCCGGGGCTGGGGTGCCCAGGGTCGCCACCCCGTTCCCATCCGCGGGTGCCTGCAGAGAAGGGACCCAGGGGTCCCCGCGGCTGTGGGCTCGCTCCTGTCAGCGCCTTCCAGGGGTGGGCTTCTGGGGACTGCTCCATCCCCCCGGGGCTCTGCCCTCTGCTGAGCCACCAAGCCACCGTCTTCACATTGCTGTGCCCAGCAAGTGCAGAGTGGGAAACGGCACGGCCTGGTCTAGTGTGCCAGCTCCCCACCCGGTCCCTGTTGGCAGAGCCCCCACGGGTCCTCCCGTAGCTGGCCCCATGTTTGTCCCCTGTCGCTGCCCAGCATGTGGCCTGGGGGGCCTTCAGAAAGGCCCCTGGGGGGCACTCCTGAGCCGCGTGTCCCTGTCCCCCTCTGTGGCCTCCCTCCCCACGCCCATCGGGAGCGCTCTGACATCCCCCGACACCCAGGCTGCATCTCCAGCTGGCACTGCCCCTCATGTGCCAGTGTGCCCACAGGAGCTTGCCCGGCACCCATCCCTCCTGTTTAAGTGGTGTCCAATCAGTGGAAGGCAGTGTCCCTTTGAAGCACCCCCTCCTCTGCACCCGCGTGCCCCTTCCCGTGTCTCGCCCCGCCGGCCAGGAGGGCGCCCCGTGACAACCCCGGTCCATACAGAGAAGCAGAATGCTAAAAAGCACTACATGAAGATGCACCTGGCCGGGAAGACCAAGGCCGACCTCGCCTGCCTGGCCATCATCCGGAAGCAGCAGGAGGAGGCGGCCAGGAAGAAGGAAGAGGAGAGGAAAGATGGGGCCCTGAGCCCAGGCTGTGAGGTGGGGGAGGCCGAGGACGGGGGCTGCCTGCCCACCCCCTCAGTCCATCCATGAGCTGCCCATGAGCTACACGTGAGCTACACATAAGCTGCACATGAGCTATATGTGAGGTACACATGAGCTACACATAAGCTATCCATAAGCTGCGTATGAGTTACACATGAGCTACCCGTAAGCTACATATGAGCTACATGTAAGCTATACGTGAGCTACCCATGAGCTACATCTAAGCTTACACATGAGCTGCCCTCCATCGAGCGTATAAGGGTGGGCCACATTCCCACAGGTGTGTCACTGTCACTCTCCACGGGAAGGGACGGTGGCCGTGGGGGCCGCTGCCCCTTTTCCTGCACCTACTGAGCTCTGAAGGAACCAGGGCCTGGTCCTTGCAGACCTCGCAGGGGCCACGGTGGTGCGGCTGCAGAGATTTCAGAGGGCAGAAGCTGGAACTGGGCGTGGGGGGTCCCCATGCCGCAGCCGCAAGGTGATCCTGCACACAGGAGCATAGGTCCGTCCCTTCCCTCTCCACCCCGCCCGTGTCCATCAGTGGTGTCCTGTGATGGGGAACGACTCGGGGTGCTTCCTGTCCTCCTGACCCCCCCCTTTCCACCTGCAGCAAATGACGCCACCTTGTAGGAGGAAAACGAAAGCAGTCACTGTCCCTGAATAAGTAAGCTGGCGGTAGGAGGGACCCTGCCGCCTGCCCCCCACCCTGCCCGCCTTGGCCCGGAGCCAGCTTCCGGGGCCTCCTCATCCTGGCGCGAGGGACTGGGGGGGGGGGGGACTGCTCCCGAGGAGCCCAAAAGATGCAGGACAGCATTTCACAGGTCACCCTCCGGATGTTTCTGCCATTTTAAAGAATCCGGAACCCTGGTTGTGGGGGTGCGGGGAGAGGCGCCCAGTCAGCGGGTTGAGGACGAGGCCATGTTCATCCGTAGATTGCATGGCGGGGGGCGGGGGGCGGGGGGCGGGGGGGCGAGAGCGGGACCCGGGCCTGTCCGGTGCCCCCCTGACCTCTGCCCTGTGGCCTCCACCGCCCACTCAGGGCCCGGCACACCCACCACCCCGTCATCGACCATCTCGAGACACCGCTCCCCGCGTCACCCAGACGAGAGACATACTCCTCAAATTCAACTTGTGTATTTGGCCGATTAAACCACATTATCGTAACCCTTGTCTGGTGGGTCCTCTGGCTGCTGCGGTGCCCACTCATGCCCGGACACCCGAGTGCGGGGTCTGGACTAGTGGGCTCTGGGCTGGTGGTACCCCACAACACACCAGCTGTGTCCAGCCTACCTGGAGTTGCCCGGGGCCCACCGGAGGCCGTGCCCAAGGGTCCCGGTGCCTAATGCCCAGGCTGTGGGGTCCTCTGTGCCCTCAGGCAGAGGCCCGCCTGCGGGGGAGTTGCTGGAGGCGTGCCCAGTGCCCATGCTGTGAGGTCCCCTGTGCACTCGGGCGCCCCCTGAACGCCCGTGTGACTCCTGAGGCCGGTGTCCGTGGGGTAGGAGGGCCCCACGCACAGGAACCTCTGCCCCGTGCCGCGGGGCCTGACCCCGACCGAAGGGGCCCCGCCCGAACCCCAACACCGCCTTGCTTGGGGTGGAGGAGGAGGAAGTTGGCACAGGGCTTGGGGAGCGGGTAAAAACCACTGAGCATGAACCAAAACCCGGGTGCCAGAGTCACAGAGAAGCGAGGTTTCCAAACTAAGGCCGAGCCGAGCGCACAGCACAGTCAGACCACTAAGGTGAAACAGGCAGAGCTGGGTTCAAGGCCACCCCCCCCCCCCGCGCTCAGGGTCCCGGGGCTGCACCCACACTTCCAAACACCACAGGCCTTTCAAGCTGGCATCTTTATTAACCAAAAGTGGAAGCAGTTCGCGGTCAGCACCGGGCTGTGGCTCTTGTCTCAGTGACTGAAAGCGTTTCTCTAAAAGGCACATTTTCTTGAAGCGGGTGGGAAAGGTCCCTTCCCCTCCCGGGCGGCGCCCTCTCTGTGGCCCAGAAGTGGTCAGCAAAGCAGCCCCGGCTACCCCGAGTCCCCCATCGTCGTTGTCGTCCTCGGCAGCTCCCCACTGCTCACTTGATCTTCAGGTCCTTCAGGGCCGACTCCAGGCTCTGCAGGGAGAGAGCAGGCGGGCTGGTTCCCAGTGGGTTCCCGGGGCAGCGGCCAGGTCGAGGAGGGGGTACACGGGGTCCCGGGCAGCCTCACCTTCACGTCCCAGATGCTCATGCCGCCGTCCATGCCGGTCGTGCAGAACTGCGAGCACCTAGCTTTGCCCCCACTCAGCACCGAGATCTGGCTGGAGGGAGGCGGGGCCGGGGTCAGGAGCCAGGGCTTCCCGGCCAAAATCCCCAAAACCCGCCGAAGTGAGGTGGGACCGCGCGGCAGGCAGGGACCAGCAGGCCCCACTTCCCGGTAAGCCGGAAGGCGGCCGAGCCCCGCGGCTGGTGACCTTGAGGTCTCCCACGATCGGGGTCCAGCAAGATGCCCACCGGCCACTGCCCGGCTTCCTCCAGGCCCTAGCAGGGTTAGGCAAAACCCTTGAGGTTGGCCAGCGGTCTTCTCTAGCCCCGCCCCGCCCCGCCCTCCAGCGCCGTGCTGCTGTGCTCAGTTCCCTCGGGCCCCTCCCCAGCTCCAGCACCAAGCCATGTGCCCACCCCGGCCCCGTCCTGACCTCCCTCAGGCCACGCCCTGTCTTCATCACCACGCTGCTGTGCTCAGCTCCCTCAGGCCCCGCCCACCTCCCTCCGGACCCGCCCACGACTCATGCTGTTGTGCCTGCCTCCCTGGGGCCCCCCCCCCACCTCCCTCAGACCACGCCCAAGCTGCCAACGACATGCTGATGTGCCCACCTCCCTGAGGCCCCGCCCCACACCTTCTGGGACCCGTCCCTGACCAAAATGCTGCTGAGTCCGCTTCCCCCAGGCCCCTCCCCTGAACAAGCAGTTGTACCAGCCTCCCTCCTGCCCCGCCCCTGCCGCCATGCTGCTGTATCCACCTCCCCCAGGACCCTCTCCACCTCCTAAAACGGCTCCCTTTGAGCCCCTGAGGCACCTGACGCTGTTCTTATGCAGCGAGTCGAGCCCGGCGCCCGCGGCTGCACCGCCCTCGGAGCTGGCCTTCTTGTCCAGGTTCTGGAAGCGCTCGCGGGCCGTCAGTCCGCGCTGGCTGCTCTGCCGGGGCACATCCAGCCGGCCGCCCGAGGCCAGCCTCCCCGCCGCGCCATCGTAGGTGAACAGCACTGGGAAGCAGTCGTGGCCCTGCGGGGGAGTGACAGGGGGCGGGGGAGCGTCACTCGGGAAACTGAGGCCGGAGAGGGTTAGCCCAGGCTACACCGCGAAAGCCCCACGCGTGGGTGAAGGATGGAGAGCGGGAGGCGGGGCGGGGGAACCCCCAGAAGCCACTCACCGCCGCCACCAGGCTGTTCTCAGTGATGAAAGTAACGGCCAGGAGCGGCAGGGCGTCAGAGGCCAGGGTGGCCACGCTGGGGAGAGGGACGGGGTCAGGACCCCACGTCCCCTCCCCGCCTGCCCTCTGCGCCCCCCACCGAAACCCAAACAGCAAGGTCTCCTCCCTGCCTGCCCTCTGTGTCCCCCACTGAACCCCCCAAACCCCAGTCCCCTTCCCGCCTGCCCTCCCCTCCCCCCCTGTCCCCCCCCAGCCTGCGATCCGCCCCCCCCCCCCCCCCGCACCTGCCATCTGTCTCCCCCACCGACCCTCAGGGTCCCCTCCTGGTCCTCCATCTGTTTCCCACCTCAAACCCTCGCCCCCTCTACCCCGTTCCCCTCCGCACCTGCCCTCTGCGCCCCACACTGAACCCCAACCACCCCCAGGACCCCTCCCCGCCTGCTCACTGCCCCCCTTGGCCCCAAGGTCCCCTTCCCCCCTGCCCTCTCCCCACCCCGCCCCTACTCGCCCCCTTCTGCCCCTCCTCTCCTAACCGTAACCTGACCCTCCCATCCCCGATCCCCTCACTGCACACCCTCCGCCCCCTCCCCGGCCCCGGGACCCTCCCCTCCACCCCCCCATCTCTCCCCCGCTCACGCCATCTTGCGCTCGGCGTCGGCCAGGCACACGGTGCTGTCGTGACTGACCCAGGCCAGGCGGCCCCCGCTGGCAGAGAAGCTGACGCCGTGCACCCAGCCGCCAGCGCCACTCGACTCGAACAGCAGCTCCCCGAATGGCATCTTGGAGCCCCAGGGCGTGGGTGCCGGCCGCTCCTCCACCTCCTTAATGTAGGCCGAGAAGATCCTGCGGAGTAAAAGCAAAAGGCGGTGCTGGGGGTGGGGGTTAGAGGCGAGGTGGGGGCGGTGCTGACAGGGGGCGGAGGTGAGGCGGGGCTGCTGGGGGTGGGGTGGGGGGCCGGCCGCTCCTCCACCTCCTTGAGGTAAGCCCTGAGCAGCCTGCCTCAGTTTTTCTCCCCCCCACCCCTGCCCTGCCCGGGATGGCAGCCTGGAGACTGACATGGATGGGGTGGGGGTAGGGCTGCCTCAGTTTCCTCCTGCCTTGATGCTTGGGATAGCAGCTGGGGGGCTGACGGGGGCCTGCCTCAGGTTCCCCCTGCCCTGCCTAGGATGGCAACAGGAGTGGGGCGCCCCAGTCCCCTGGGCCCCAATTCTGCCTTCTCCTCTCCCCCCTCCCTCCTCTCCCCCTCGCCTTTTGCACATCTGTGACAGGGGAGCACAGAGAGTAGCCCAGGCTAGACGATGGGGGGAGGAATAATAGATGGTAGCCCGGGCTAGATGGGGGAATCACAGAATGTAGCCCAGGCTAGATGAAGGATCATACCATGTTGTCTTGGCTAGACAGGGGGGAAACACAGAGGGTAGCCCAGGCTAGACAGGGGATCCCAGAGGGCAGCCCGGGGCTACGGAGGGACTTGGGGCTCTCTCCCCCTTGCCCCGGAGCTCACCTGCACTTGAAGTCACAGGAGCCGGCAGCCAGGAGCACGCTGTTGGGGTGCCAGTCCAGGCTGAGGACGGTGGAGCGAATGGGCTTCTTGATGTGCTTGCACACCCACCTAGAGGAGAGGCAGGGGCATGGCTGTGAGTTCGAGGCCAGCCTGGGCCACACAGAAGGACCCGGTCTCCAACAAACAGGACAGACTACGAATTGGGTGGTGGAGGGACGGCCGTTCTCCCAGAGGCCCTATGTTCAGTCCCGACCCCCACACTGTGGCTCAAGGCTGGCTAGAGTGAAATCTGGCGCCCTCTGCTGGCGAGCGGGTGCTCGTGCAGTCAGAGGGCTGTACACAGAAAAGATAATGAATAAATCTTTTAAGTGTATGCATGGCACGCACAATTGTGGTGCAAAAGCCTGTCATGCCGCACCCGGAGAGGCAAAGGCAGGAGGAGGACCACAAGTTGAAAGTCATCCCTGGCTGCTCCCTGAGCTTCAGACCCTGGCAGGGGAGGAGAGGGGAGGCATTCAGATGATGTTTGGGCACTTGTGGGGGTCCCTGGCATGAGCAGGGGGGTGACAGACCCCTGAGGATGTCCCCAGGGTTGGCAGCTGTCTGTCTGTCCCTGCCGTTATCGGGTCACGTCACGATACTGAGGACCCCAGGATGCACCCCGGCGAGGACAGACTCCCCCAGAGTGGCACCATCAGTTTAGGGACACCCTGACCTGGGTCCTGTGGTCCCGTGCTCTCCCACACCCGGGTCCATCCCTCTCCCCTCCAGTCCCCCCCTCCCCCGGGCCCTCTCCTCCCTCCGCCCATCTTCTTCCCTACCCTGTCCTCCCCCCCATCTGGGTCCTCTTCTTCCCCCACCCAGATCTCTTTCCTTCCCCCATCCTCCCCCCTCCTGGGTTTTCCCCTCCTCCCACCAGGGTCCTATTCCCTCCCCCATCCTCTGTTCTACTCTCCCCTCACCCTTCTCCTCCCCAGGCCCTCCCTCCATGTCCCCCCTCAAGCACCCACCAATCATTCTCCTGCTCGAAATAGCAGACAGAGATGACGCGGGAGCCACTGCCCACAGCGAACTTGTTCTCGTTGGGGGCCCAGCGCACGCAGCGGGCAGCACGGTTGATGCGGAGGATGACGAGTGTGGGCTTCCACGCGCGTCCCTTGAGTGTCCACACGTAGGCGTTGCGATCTGTGCCGCACGTCACGATGCGGTTGCTCTCAGGGGCCCAATCTATGCCTGCAGGGTTGGGTCAGTGGAGGGGTTCGAACCTAAGGACCTGCAGGCTACGGTGGCCACGCCACAGATGTGCTGCTCCAGGGCCGGGCTCCATCCCCGGCCACGGCCCCAGGCCCTCACTGGATGCTGACTCGGTGATTCTAGCAAGTCTGACCTCAGCCCCTCACGGGGTCCTGACTGGGTTATTCCAGCAAATACTCCACCCCCGGCCACGCCCCCAGCCCCTCACCGGATCCTGACTGGAGGATTCCAGCATGTGCTGAAACCCCGGACACACCCCAGGCTCCTCACCAGATTCTGACTGGGGGATTCGATCAAGTGCTCCACCCCTGGCCATGCACCCAGTTCCTCACTGGGCAATTTTAGGCAGCTGTGATCCTGACTCCGGGATTTCTAGCAAGTAGCCTGGCTCACTGTGATCAGGTGCTCCACCCACGGTCACACCCCCAGCCTCTCCCCGTATCTTGACTACAAGTAGCATTGCTCATGCTGATTAAGGTCTCTGCCCCTGGCCATACCCGCTGCCCTTCATTGGGCAATTTTAGACGGGTGTGATCATCCTTGGAGCATTCTAGCAATTAGTCTTCCTCGTGATGATCAAGTCCTTGACCCCTGGCCATGCTCCCAGCCCCTCACCGTATCCAGACTGGGGAATTCTAGCAACTGCTCTATCCCTGGCCACGCCCCAAGCCCCTCATTGGATCCTGACTGGGGTATTCTATCAAGTGCTCTGCCCCTGCCACGCCCCTAACCCCCTCACTTAGCAGTTTTAGGTGGATCTTAGATTCTGACTGGGGGGTTCTAGCAAGTGGCGAGATCTCCCTGGGGAGCTCTAGGGTGGGTGCTGTACCCCACTTATCAGGGAGCCCAGTGGTCCCCAACAAGCCACCCCCAGACGCTCACAACTAGGGATCCCCCGCCCCTCCAGGAGGGTGGTTCTGACCCACCTGTCACCTGCCCATTGTGCTCCTTCAGCTCGTGCACCTTGTTCCACTTGGCCCCAGCCTTCTCATAGATGTGCACCTCGTGGTTGTTGGGGCAGATGGCGATCTCTGCCGGGGTGCGGAGGGGGAGGACGGGCAGTGTGGGCACCCCTCCCCCTCCCCACTCATGCCCAGGCCTCCCCACTGCACTCCCGCCAGTCCCCACCAGGCCACTCACGCGTCCGGTCCTTGTTCCACGCGTGACAGCTGATGGGCTCCACCAGGAAGCTATGGTAGGCCATGGTGACTCGTGTCCTGGGCCTGGGGAGGGGGCGGGAGCGCGGATCAGCGGTGCCCGGGGTCTTGGTGGGGGAGGACAGCCTGAGCTACCCTGGTATCCTGACTCCTGACGCCATGACACAGCTTGGAGCTCGGCTCGGCCACTTGGTGAGTTCGGCTTTTCCTCACCTTCTGTCCACCCTCCACTCCCACCCGTTTCACACCCCAAATTACTAGACAGGTTAGATGGGGGAAGAGGGGAAGAGAGAGAGACAGAGAGAGGAAGAGGGAGAGAGGGAGGGAAAGGGGAAGAAAGAAGGGGAGAGAGAGGGAGGGGAGAGGGAGAGAGGGAAAGAGAAAGAGGACAGAGGAAAAGAGAGAGGGAGATAGAAGGAGGGAAAGAGAAAAAGGGGAGAGGGAGGGAAAGAGAGAGGAGGGAGAGAGAGGGAAATGGGGAGAGACAGAGGAAGAGGGAGTGAGAGGGATACAGGGAGAGAGAAAGAAGGAGAAAGTGAAAGAGAAGACAGGGAGAGAGGGGAAGAGAGAGAAAAAGGAGAGAGGAAGAGAGGGGAGAGAGAGGGAGAGAAGGAGAGAGGAAGAAAGAGAGAGGGAGAGGGGGAGAGATTCAAGCTAGATCCCTGAATCTAGCCGGGTGTGGTGACACACTTCCTGTAATCCTGTAAACACATGGGGAGGCAGGCGGATCTCTGTGGGTTCCAGGGCAGCCTGCTCTACAAAGCGAGTCCAGGACAACCAGGGCTACACAGAGGAACCCTGTCTCGAAAGAAAGAAAAGAAAGAAAGAAAGAAAGAAAAGAAAGAAAGAAAGGAGGGGCTGGAGAAACGGCTCAGAGAGCGCAGGCTGCTCTTCCAGAGGTCCCGAGTTCGAGTCCCAGCCCCCCCCCCCCCCATGGCGGCTCACGACCATCTACAGTGAGATCTGGTGCCCTTGGCTGGTATGCAGGCACAATGCAGGCCGAAAACTATACATAATAAATCTCTAAAAAAATTTAAAAAGGGAAAGAAGAGATCCTTGTAGCTTCTATCTTCTTGGAATAGGACTACCAAGAAACTACAATCACCAACACCCCCCAGTACCTCACTGGGGTATTCTAGGCAGGCGTTCTGTCTCTGAGCCACACCGAGCCCCTCACTGGGGAATTCTAGGCAGGGGCTCTACCGCTGAGTCATGAGTTTGAAGGCAGCTGGCAAAATGGCTCACGGGGTCAGGTGCTTGCTGCCTACCTAGCCCGAGGTACCTGGTTCGGGGGCCCAGGACCTGATGAATGGCAGAACGAGTGAACCACCCCCTCCACACACACAAAAACGAACGCACGGAATTGCAAATCACTAAAATACTCCTCACTATCATGGCTGGGTATATCCTCCAGCCCGGGCCGGCCAGTTGGGTCCTTCCTTGTTCAGTTGACTTATTATTATTATTATTATTATTATTATTTTATTTTTTTATTTTTATTTTTTTCTTGGCCCTGGGCTAGGCCTGGGCTGGGCCTGAGTCGCCCGCAGCGATGATTTGGCTCTCCACAAGCAATTCAGGAAGTCCCCCGCCCAGCCCAGCAGCCCAGGAGCAGCCGGCAGCAACTTTTTTTTTTTTTTTTCAAACGGTGCTAAGCCTTACTCAACTTCCTGTTCTGGGTCGGGGAGCCTGGGTGGCGTGGGCAGCCTCCCCCCCCCAAACCCCCGGTTTCCTCCTCCTCCGGGCTGCACCCCAAGTCTCATCAGACGAACCCCAACCCAGCAAACCCTCCTACCCCCCCCCCCCACACACACACACACACACTCCAGGGCTTCAGGGTCCGCGCCACACCCATAAAAAAGAGAGCAGGGTGTAGCCCTAGTGAACCGACTGACTTGAGGAAAAATTTTTTTAAAAGCAGATTTTATGCCAGTAACGGGGTGCAAAAAGCCCCAGACCCCTGGGAAGAAGGGGAGTCCGGAAGGGAGAGCCTGTGTGGAGGCGTCTGTTACTTAAAAAAAAAAAAGACCCCCAAAGTGTGCTCAACTTCAATCTCGGGCCCGGGGGAAGGCAGCATTGTTTTGAGTAAAGCCCAGCACTGTCTTGAGGCCAGCCCAACCTTACCCAGCAAGAGAGACCCTGCCTAAAAAAAAAAAAAGCAAAACAAAACAAAAAGCTCAAAGCAAGAACGGATCATCAGGAAGTTCTGTTAACACAGACACTTTTTGGGGGGCGCGGAGGGGTGGGTGTTCGAGGGGACAACAGCAGCCACTGCGGAGACGCTGGAGATTTGAACTCGGATCCCCTCTCGCTCCCATGGCCAAGTCTACCTGCTTTTCGCTGCTTTGCACGCGCGGAAGTTGTTGCACTTCCCTTGGGACCCCCATCCTTCCCTCCTCACTGCCCGTCCTACCGGCCCTTGGGCACGATCACGGGTGGGAGGTGGGGTGATGGGGGAGGGGGAGAAGATTGGGGGAGGGGAGCCAGCTCAGACCCGGAAGGCCGCGCACCCAGGGGTGGGGGAGAGGGGGAAGTAATTGGGAGTCGGGCCCTGAAGTAACGGGGCGACCGACGGCTGGGATCGCGGGGCTGTCGCCCCGCTCCGTCCCCTCCTTCGTCCCCCGCCCTCCCCACGGCGCACTAGGCTCTCCGCTGCCACCCCCCGCCCCGTCGAGCATCGCCTCTGGTCGTCCCCATCCCCCCCACTCCCGGCATTTCCACGCACGACGTGTCGGGGACCCCACGGCCCTCACCTCAGCGCGCCCCGGCCGCGGACTCTGGACAGTCGACGCGCCGACCCGGCTGTAAGAGCCGCGCGCCGCCCGCCCGCCCGCGGAGGCCGCTTACTTCCTGGTGGGCGGGCGGGGGCGGGGCCTTCGGGCAAGGGGCGGGGTCGCTGGACACCGGAGGCGGAGTCTCGGACAAAGGAGCTATATCGGGGCAAGGGGCGGGGTCTCTGAGCAAGGGGCGGGGTCTCTGCACAGGCGAGAGAGATCCGGGCACGGAGGCGGGGTCTCCGGGTATGGGGCGGGGTCTCTGGACACCAGAGGCGGAGTCTCCGTACAGGGGGAGGGGAGGGAAGATGCGGGGGCGGGGTCTGCAGGCTTGGGGCGGGGTCTTCGAACACGAGACCGGGGCACGAGGACAGGATCTCGGGGCACTGGGACGGGGTTTCCAGGCATTGGGGGCGCTGTCTCCGGACACTGGGAAGGGGTCACCGTCCACCAGGACGGGGTGTACAGGCGCTTGGAGCGGGACCTCCGGATACAGGGGGCGGGGGCTTCGGCCAACAGGGGCGGGGTCTCCGGCAACCGAGGAGGAGTCTCCAGGCATTTGGGGAGGGCTACGGGCACACACGGGGCGGCGTCTCTCTCTCTCTCTCTCTCTCTCTCTCTCTCTCTCTCTCTCCCTCTCTTTTCCTCTCTCTTCCTCTCTCTTCCTCTCTCTCCTCCCTACCTCTTTCCCTCTCCCTCCATCTCTTCCTCTCTTCCTCCCTCCCTCTCTCTCTTTTTCTTTCTCCTTCTCTCCCTTTCTCCCTTGCTCTCTTTCTGTCTCTCTCCCTCTGTCTCCCTCCCTCTCCCTCTCTATCCAATGAATCTCTTACATACCACATCTGTTGTACGCGGCATTTTAAAATACATTATTTACAGGTGCGCCCTGGCTCCCCACTTCTCCAAAGTCCTTCCTCCTTGGCCACGCAAGGGACGTGCGAGGTGGCCGTGCGCCCCAGCTCTCCTGGGGAATCCCCGGGCTGCTGCGGAGGGACAGCATCTTTCGGTGGTTTCTCTTCCCGGTTGTGGTCCGTCCCCGGGGGCTCGCCTTGTACCCAGGCCTGCGCGAGCTCAGCCTCCTCCTTGCAGTCCTCCTCTTGCTTTGGGATCAGGTCGGGATTCCAGGCAGCTCGGGTCACCAGGCCTGAAACGGGAGAACGTGAGCAGATAGAAAAGGCCCAGCCCGTGACTCCAATGTCAGTGTTAGGACGCGAGGTTTCGCTGGGGTGGGGGGTGGAGTGTCAATCTATAAAAACTGTTCCCCTGAGCGCTCGGGGAAGCGGAGGCGGGGGTGGGGGATGACTGTGAGTTCGAGGCTGGCCTGGTCTGCAGAGCGAGTCCGGGACAGCCAGGGCTACACAGAGAGACCCTGTTTCGAAAAACAAAAACAAACGAAAAAGTAGGAGGGGCATTTGGAAAGGAAAGGTTCCAGAGGGAGTGGGAAGGCGCGTGCTAGGAACAACAAACAGGGTTCCAAGTGGGAGTGAGAGGGGCTGTAAGAGCAATGGGAGGGCACCCTGGGAAGAAGGATTCGAGAGGCGGGAGCACAGGAACTAGAGCATTCTGGGAAGAAGAGGGGCATTGGAATTGATTCTGATTAGAGTACATTATGTGTGTGTATATGAAATCATCAGAGAAAAAGTGAAAACATATCAAAACAGGTGGAGTGTCTCACGACCTTAGCCCCAGGTCTCAGAAGGCCAAGGCGGGTCTACACGGTGAGTTCCCAGCCAGCCCTGTCTCAGAAACACAGCAGCAACAATAGAAAGAAATATTAAAAATCCACACGTGCACAGAAGATAAAACAGACGAGGAAGACTCAGACTGAGTCACGCAAGGAACCATAAGGCTCTCAGCCCATATCTGTGAACGCTTTCCGGTACCCGCCTTGGTTTGGCTCAGTGATGGATGGACTGTTACCTGGTCTTGAGGGCCAGGAGACCCTGGCTCACCCGAGCCACACGGACCACAGGGCATCAGGAAGAGCATCACTTACCTGGCATGGTTGTGCTCTTGCCATCCTCCTCGCTCTCTCTCCCCACAAGCCTTTCCAGGCCACACCAGCTGCTCCCACTCCCCCCGGGGCGGGTCTGAGATCCGGCCTTGGCCTTGAAAGTCAGGGTGCCCTGGAGGGGCGCAAGACCTCAGTTAGTGCTCACTGTCCCTGCTGAGAGCAAGGAGTTGGTGAGTACCAAGGCCTTCCCTGTCACCTTGACTGGGCTCTGGGTCACCTGAAACGCGGCTTCGAGGCTAGCCTGAGCTAGCCAGCATCTCCCAGCAGCTTTGACTGCGCTGAATGGGAGGAAGGGAGACAAGGAGAGCACCAGCGTCCACCTCTTCTTCACTGCTAAGCGCAGAATCAAGGGGACCAGCCACACCCGTGCTGCGCATTCCTGGCTCCAGACTGTGGCTCTTGTTCTTGACCCCCCAAAATAAGCCCTTCCCTCTCGGAGCTCTTGACACGGCAGTGGGAAGATTCAATGTGGGGGGGGGGGAAACGGGGGTTAATCTGTAAAGACATTTCGGGGGGGGGGATCTGGGAAACGTTAATCACGGTGAACTTTCTGGGGCTGGAGGGATGGCTCAAAGGTTGAGGTGGTCTTCCTGAGGCCCTCATGTAGGCAAAACAACAATGCACATGAAAAAAAAAAAACTTTTTTTAAAATCACTTTTACAAAACAAAGTGTGTTCCCTGCTCTGAAGAGCGACCTGGACACAGCAGCCAGCACCCACACCGGGCAGCTTACAATAGGCCCTGTGACTCCAGGTACGGGGATGCGATGGCGTGTTGTGTGCCCCTGGAGCTGTTCCACACACATGAACAAAAATTCAATAAAAACTTTTCATACTGACAATGGTTTAAGGTTACATCCCCAAAAGGCACAGTCCTATCCCCTCCTCCTCTGCGTGTTTGTGTGTGAACGTGAAAGCAGATGCCTAGAGAACAGCATGGGACCCCTTTCTCTCCCGTTGGAGGGGTCCAGGCGGGGTCCGGGAACCGAATTCGCGCTTTACAGCAGGCCCACGGACTAGGGGGTAGTGGCCCCTCACCTGCGGGGAGGCCTGGCGCAGGGCGAGTGCCGAGGCTGCCGCTTCCTCCCCGCTCTCGGGGAGCCAGTGGTGCGGGAGGAGGCTGAGGACCATCTGCTCCTTGGAGCATCGCCCCGGGCGGGCGACACAGCTCCCGCAGGCGGCTCAGGCCTCTCTATGGTTCCTCTTCCTTTCACTGGGCTCCCAGGCCAGGTCCTTGAAGAAAAGGATGTATAACGGGTAGTGTGTGTCTGTGTGGACGGGGTGAGGAGGGTGAGGGAGGGGGGTTGGGTTGGGTTGGGGAGATGTGCTACACGGAGGGTTCCTGTCATGAAAGAAAATCAGAAGAAATAAATAAAAGGGTGGGCTGGAGAGATGGATGGTTCAGCGGCTTTCTGTCCAGTATCTTGGGATTCCCAGCTCCCACAACATGGTTCAGAGATGGACCTGCAGGCCAAACAACCATATACAAAATAATAATAATAACAATACTGATGAAATTATTTCAATTTTTAAAGTTTTTTGTTTTGTTTTTCGAAAACAAAACAAAAAATGTTTAGGCTGTTCTGGACACGTGCTGTGGACCAGGGTTGGCCTCGAACTCACAGAGTTCCCCCTGCCTCTGCCTCCTTGAGGGCTGGGGTCAGAGGCATCGGCCATAGTGAGTTGTAGACCAGACAAGAGTTACACAGTGAGACTATCTCGAAGAAAGAAAAAAAAAAGTGTGAGCAAGATATTTCTTTTCTTTTTAACTTTTATTAGTTACACTTTATTCACTTTGTATCCCCCCATAAGCCCCTCCCTTCTCCCCTCCTAATCTCACCTTCCTTCCCCCTTTTTCACATATGCCTCTCCCCAAGTCCACTGATAGGGGAGGTTTTTATCTTAGTTTATGAGAATCAGGAGTGGCTGCATTGTCATCTTCTGTGGCCTGGTAAGGCTGCTCCCCTCTCAGGGGGAGGTGATCAAAGAGCAGGCCAATCAGTTTATGTCAGAGGCAGTCCCTGATATTTCTTTTTTAATATACTATTTGTTTTTATTTTCTGTACATCGGTGTTCTGGGTGCATAGATGTCCAAGTATGGGCGTTTGACCCTTGGGATAGGAGTTAGGGACAGTTCTGAGCCGACACATGGGTGGTTGGGATGGAACCCTGGTCCTCCTGGAAGAGCAGCCAGTGCTCTTAACCGCTAGCCTTCTCTCCAGCCCCGAGCAAGACATCTCTAATTCAC